CAGGGTGCGCATTCCTGTACACGGAGATGCACACTCATACACAAGCACCCCTATACACAGATGCACATTCAAATGCACACTCCACACACAGATGCATGCTTACACACACACGCACTCCTCTACACAGATGCACACTCAGATGCACACACACTCCCATACAATGCAGGTTCACACACACTCCTGTACACAGATGCACACTCATAGGCACACACACTCCCATACACCGATGTTCACATGCACACACCAACATGTACTCCCATATAGATACACACTCACACATATGCACTCCCATATACAGATGCACTCTCTCACACACACACACACACACACTGACCTGGGTACTCACAGACCTGTGCTATTTTTTGTTACTTATTTGAAAGGCAGAGTTAGAGAGAGAGAGATCCTCTACCAGATGGTTCACTCCCCAAACGTCCATAACAGCCAGGGCTGGGCCACGCTGCATCCAGGAGCCTGGAACTCCATTCAGGTCTCTCACATGGGCTGCAAGTGGGCCAGCTTCTGCTGCCTTCCCAGGTGTGTTAGCAAGGAGCTGGATTGGAGGTGGAACAGCTGGGATTCAGACCGGTGCTCATATGGTTTGCTAGGGCGATAGATGTGGTGGCTTAACCTACTGTGTCTTGACGGTCCTGCCACGCCCTCTTAGAATGTACACACATGCACGCAAGTTTCACACTCACATTCACTCTTGCAGCTCACATTCAATACACACACACACACACACACACACACACCCCACGCCCTTTCTCAGTCCTGAGGAGTAACCTGCGCCCTGCTTCCAGGTTAAGGACCTTTCCCCTTTGGAGTTGACAGGGGTGGGATCACGTGGAGGCAGCAGCCGGGGATCACAGACCAAAGCCAACACCGAACTCAGAACTCCGTGCCGCCACCCAAGTGTTTTCCCCCCAGGTTTTCTGACCGCAGGGCTCGGAGTTGGTCCACAGAGACCGAATGTTTCTTGTCTCAGGGATGCCCTTGCTTTGCTACTCTGAGCCCAGAGAGGTTAGACTGCTTTCCTGATGTCACACAGCCTACTGGAGCTTTCACTGTGACTCATTCAGAGACAGTCCCCAACACGGCGCCCAGCAGGTGGGGGTGGGGGTGCTCTGGGGAGAGGAGGGAACTGGGCCGTGGAAGGGAAGGCAAGAGGGCCGGTCTCTTGCAGACAACAGGCATGGCCACCAGAAATGGGGTGGCCCCAGGGAAGCCTGCCAGCTGTTACCGTGGCCTGTCCAGCTGGACTGGGCCCAGTTTCCAGGCGGCTCCAGGGCGGCGAGGCCAGGGCGGGCAGTGGCGCCGGTGGGTGGAGGGAGGTTGCCTGGAGGAGGGCAGGCAGGCACCATGGGGCAGTGCCTGGGGCCTGGGGCCTCTGGTGGCTTCCGAAGGCCTTGCTGCGGCTGGCCCCTGCCCCTGCCCGGGTCTGACGGCTCTAGGCGTGGGAGAACAAAGCGTACTGCAGGAATTCCGGCCGGGTAAGGCGATGGGGGGGGGGGGGGAGGCGTCCTACCCACCAGGCCTCCTCACCACTGGGGGGCTTGGAAGTCACCCTCAGCGCTTAGGATGGCAAAGGACCCTTGGCCCAGCTGCCTCCACATTCCACAGCTGCTCCCACGCGCACCTCACCTCTCCCCTTCCTGTCCTCAAAAGTGCTTGCCCGCAGCGGCCAGCGAGGGCAGCAGGAGGGGTGGCTTCCTGGCTGGGCTGAGCCGAGCCTCCCAGACAGCAGCGAGGGTTTCCTTCCTGAAACACGTCAGCCCCTGCTCTCAGAACCTCTCCAGAGAGGGCCCAGGCACTCTGGGCCCACGAGCGGCGGTGTCCCCGGTGGGGGTCACAGCCCAGCCTGCACGGACGAGGCAGCCCCTTCCTCTGGGTGGCTCAGCCACCTGCCTGGCCCTGCCCGGGTGGCGCTGCGGGTACCCACAGCCTGCCGAGGCCCACGCGGGGTCCAGAGACATCGCTTGACCTCCTGCTGCGTCCAGGTGTTCTCGCGTGGGGATGAGGCTCCGGGTCCCTCACCCCTCCTGTACCCATCAGCCTATGCCGCCAGCGATACCTTCACTGCGCACCCCACACCTGCGGCCTGCCAGGCCCCTACCTCTCCCTACCACGACCTCTCCCCACATGGTGGCAAGCAGGATCCTGCCCCGTCGAAACCCTCTCCTCCGCGCTGAGCCTCCGCCGTCTGTGGCACTCACTTCCTCCACTCAGCCCTAGGGGCCTCCTGGCTCCGCAGCCGACAGCCATGTGACCCCTTTTTCCTGGAAGGCCCTGATTTCCGGTAACTCCCGCGTGCGCTGCCTCACACCCTCTGAGGGGCTACTCAACCGTCTCCATCTCCAAGCCCCCACCCCCACCCCACCCCGGCCTGCCCGCTCCATCGGTCCCACAGCTCCCAGATGATCCAGCTCACCTCTGGGAGCGTCACTGTCGCCGCGGGGCCCTCAGCAGGTGCTTGATACTCAGTACTCACGTGCTGCGAGTGCCTGCTTTCGGGGACTGTGATGGAGACAAGGCGACATGTGCAAGGGACGCAGAGGGTCCCACATAGGCTGGGGACCTGTCCCAGAGCCCCTGCTGGGACAATGTGTGTTACTGTCATCGTCGGCAAGGGCAGGATGGTAGTTTAGGTCTCTTTGCTGGAAGTCCTTGGGGGGCCAGCATCTGCCCCCTCTTGTTTTAATAACGGACCCTGGCTCCCTGGGGGCTCTCTCAACCACGCTTAGCCCAGGGGATCTGACAGGCCCTGGGGTGGGTCACCCCGGCGAGACACTCCCTGCTTCTGACGGCCTCGCCGACTCCTGCCACCATTCTTCCTTCTCCGTCTTCCGCTAGGCCATCCCACGCAGACCTCTCACTTCTCTGCAGCCCGCGCCGGCCCCCTCTTCGCCCGCTGTCTGGCCAATGCGCTCCAAGTCCTGCGGGGCGGCCTGGCGGAGGTGTCCAGGGTGAGCCCGGGGCTGCGGCACAACGGGCCCGCTGGGACGGCCCTGGCTTCTGCCGCGGGTGGGAGCCATGAGGGACCCACGGCCTGGCCCGTGCCGGCTGAAGAACACGGCACCTCAGCGGCGGTGCCGGGGCCCGACGCCACTGCGGGCGCTGTGCGGCTGACGAACACCCAGGAAGCCGGAGCCGGGACCTGAGGCACCCCTGCAGAGGGACCCAAGCTCCCCACGGCCTGGGGTACCCACGGCCAACCCCCAAAGGCTGCCGGGAGACGGCCTCTTCCCTCCAAATCACACATGGGTGCCCCTGATTGGTGGAAGCCAATCGGCGCCCTGGCCGTAGAGGAGTCTGGGAAATGTAGTTTGTTGTTTCCTCCTGACCGGCGTCCTCCGGGTCCAGCCTGGGGCAGCGTGGGCTCTGCGCCCTGTCACCTGCTCTCGCGGTGGTCCGCGCTAGGGGCTGGTGTGTTGGAGGCCCCGCTTCCCGAGAGCCTGTGAGGCAGGGGCCAACCACGTGGTCCTGGCTCCCCGGACCCCGGGGCCGAGGGTGAAGGCGCCCCGGCAGGCGGTGTAGCCAAAGCCCTCCACTTCCGCCGACTCGCTTCCCGCTCCTTGCGCCTGCTGCGGCTCCCACTCACTGTTCCCACCTGGGGTGAGGGGTGAGGGGTGCGGGCCTCGGCCCGTTTAACTTCTTCACCTGGGTCTCTCCAGGTGCCTGCTAGGTTGCCGCAACTTCATCCTTTCAGTTATGAAGACTTTTATTTTTATTTATTTGAAAGGCAGACATGGAAAGAGAGAGAAAGAGAGATCGCTTTCCTTTGCTAGCTCACTTCTCAAATGCCTGCAGCAGCCAGGGCTGGGCCAGGCCACAGCCGGGAGCCTTGCACTCCATCTTGCATTGTGGGCTCAGCGTTGACAGCTCCACGAAGAAACAAGGAGGCACTTGGCTTAGCGGCAAAGATGCCCAGGCTGACTGTTCCGGCCCCCACCCCAACCCAAATCCAGGCTGGGTGAGCCAGCCCCGAAAGCCCCGTCCCCTCCCTTCCCCTCTGCTCCACAGCCCTCCTCCCCCAGGCCTGGCATGTGCCAGGAAGTGCCACGGATTCCCCGTGTCTGAAGCGGGAGAGGCCGGGCCTCTCTAGGCTGCCCTTCCAGAAACTCTCCGGCCCCTTCCTGCCTGGCTTCCTGCCCAAGCGCTTCCTGGAAACCCGGCCCTGCCTGCCCCCAGCCCAGGGGCCCCTATTTCCATGGTCTGATTCACCGGACCCTCCCCAGGCAGGGGAATATGGAAAACAACTCCGGGGAGGAGCGAGAAGAGCCCAGGCTGGAGAATAGAATTTCTATCGTGTTTAAACACACATAGCCACTTAAGAAAAGAAAAACATTTTATTTGTTGATTTAATTAGTAGAGAAACAGAGAGAGAAAGCTCCCATCTGCTGATTCACTCCCAAAGTGCCTGCAACAGCCAGGGCTGGGCAGGGCCAGAGCCAGGGACTTCATCTGAGTCTCCCATAAGGATGGCAGGGACCCATCACCACGGCCTCCCAGGGGCTCATTAGCAACAAGCTGGAATTGGGAGCGGCGCCAAGAGTTGAACCCAAGTGCTCTGATGTATCCCAGGCGACATCCTAACTCCTAGGTCAAATGCCTACCCGTAGAATTCCTGCAAAGAGGAATGAATGAAGCCTTATGAATATATAAAATTCAAATAGTGTTGTAAAATATGTATTTTATGAACAGGTACATGGGGATGGGAGAGCGTGCCACAAAGTTTGGGGACCTTCAGTCTAGTGCGTTTCTTCTCGACTCCCAGCACGAGCTTGTGTCAACTCTCAGTGGGAGAATGGGCGGGAGGGGCAGCCTGACTGGCAAGGAAGGGGGAGGGGCTCTCGTGTTGCACGGGGCGAGGTGTTAGGAATGGGGGATTTTCTTGCTTGAGAGAGGAACAAAGCTTGTGCCTGGTAAAACAAGGAGAACCCTGACTTGTCTTTTTATTTTTTATTTTTTTAAGATTTATTTATTTATTTATTTATTTGAGAGGCAGAGTTACAGACAGAGGGAGAGACAGAGAGGTCTTCCATCTGCTGGTTCATTCCCCAAATGGCCGCAAAGGCCAAGGCCGGGCCAGTCTGAAGCCAGGAGCCAGGAGCTTCTTCCAGGTCCCCCACATGGGTGCAGGGGCCCAAGCACTTGGGCTACCTTCCACTGCTTTCCCAGGCCATCAGCAGGGAGTTGGACTGGAGTGGACCAGCTGGGATTCAAACCGGTGCCCATATGGGATGCGGGCATTGCAGGTAGAGGCTTAAACTACTATGCCACCGCGCTGGTCTCCTGAGTTGGCTTTCACGGTTGATCAGATCCAACAGGTCTGTTTGACTGCATGTGACAGAAACCCAACTGGATGCTTCAGCGAACAATGGAAAATTCTTCCAGCTCCAGGAATGGCCACCTCCCGCGCCTCTGTGCGAGTTTCACTCTCTGTAGGCTTCTCCTGGTGCTGGCGAGAGGGTTCCCAAAGGCTTCAGGCTCATAATCAACCTACTCAGCAATTCCAGTGGAAAGAAAGCGTCCCTTTTCCCGTTAGTCCCAGAAAAAAAAAAAAAAAAACCCATAAGGTTGGCCAGGCATTGGCTCGGACTGGCTCACGTGCCCATCTCTGAATTATCCTTGGTGGCTCTGATTGGCCAGGCCTGTGCGAGGGAGGACGTCCACCCTCCCAAAATGTTTTAGGAATTCCCCTTCGGAATGGTCTGTTCCCCGAGGAAACAGATTTGGGGTGGCTGACGTCCCACACTCGCGCAGCCAGCTCTCAGGGTGTGTGGTTGGGCTTCCTCTGGGAAGCTGGCAGGAGCAGTGCCCCCAGTGGCATGTGTGTGGACAGCTGAGTGGGGTTTGGGGAGGACCATCGCAGAGGGCTAGGTGTAGCCCAGGGCAGGCGCCCCAGGGCATGTACTCCCTGGAGAAGGGGCAGTGTGGGCTTCCCATGGTAGCCTGGTGCTGGTCGGATGACGACCAGGGTAGCTGTAAAACCCAGTGGGGGAAATTGTCCCCCATCACTTAAACTTGGGATCAAACCCAGCTCTGTCACCATTGTGGATGTCCTCGGTGACTTATTCTTATCTGCTAGAAATAGGTGGAGTCCATCTGCCCACTCCTTGTATCTGGCTTTGGGCTGTGTGATCTGCATGGGACAATGGACAGCAATGAAGGTGACTCGGGCCCAGAGTTAAGAAGCTCTCAGTTCTGGGGCTCGAGCGTCCCTTTCTGGTGTTCCTGTAGCACAAACGTGTGCTCAGATTTTGGATGCAGTGTCCCAAAAATGTCAATATTTTTCTGTAAAGAGTTGCTTGTGAATATTTTTGGCTTTGCAGGCTGCACTATGTATGTCGCAAATACTCAGCTCTGGTACAATAGCACGAGGGAAGCCATCAACAATATATATATATAAAGGAGTGTGCATGACTGTGTACCAATAAAACTTTATTTACAAACACAGTGCTCTTAGGCTTGTTGGTCCCCGTCTCTATGCTTGTTCCATCAGTTTAGGAGAGAGTGTTTGGAAATCTCCAATCATAACTGGATTTCTCTATCTTTTGTTTCATTTATTCGGTTTTTGCTGCATGGATTTTGAAGCTGTGTTGTAAGGTACATTAACATTTAGGATTGTTAGCTTTTCTGGACCAATTAACCCCTTTATCATTGTTAAATGTCCCTCTTTATTCTCGGTAATGGTCTTTGTTCTGGAATCTACTTTTTATAGCCAGCCAGCTTTTTTTTTTTTTTTTTTTTTAGTAATTGCAGAGTACATATATGTTTCCATTCTTTTATTTATTTTTCCTGATCTGTAGTTTTTGTATTTAAAGTGAATTTCTTGTAGGCAATGTAGAGTTAGGTCATTTTTTAAAAAAAATTCTATCTGAAATTTGCTGCCATTAACATTTAAAATGATTATTGATGTGGCTGAATCTAGCACACTGCTAGCTGCTTCCTGTGAGCTCTGTCCCATCCGTTCTTGTTTTTTCTTCTATTCCTGCCCTGTTTCTCATCTGCAGTGTCTAATGTGCCGTTAATCTTATCCACTGCATTTTTCACTTGTGCAAGTTTGAGTTTTTTATATCTTAATTTTCTCTCTTCATCATGTTCATGTTTTATTCTGCCTTCTTGAACATAGTGAACATGTTTTTAACAGGTTTTTGAAAAATTTTCTATATCTTCTGGGGCTGGTGTTGTGGCGTAGCAGGTGAAGTCATTGCCTGCGATGCCAGCATCCCATATGGGAGCTCGTTGGAGTCCCAGCTGTCCCACTTCTGATCCAGCTCCCTGCTAATGCACCTGGGAAAGCAGCAGAAGGTGGCCCAAGTGTTTTCCCCTGCTTCCACACAGGAGACCCAGAAGAAGCTCCTGGCTTCTGATTTCAGCCTGCCCAGCCCTGTTGCGGCCATGTGGGGCGTGAACCAGTGAATGGAAGATCTCTCTCTATTTGTAATTTTGCCATTTTTTTCAAATCACACATAAAATAGTGTTTCCTCTTGGTTAATGTCTGTCTTTTCCAGAAGACTGAATCTGAGGAAGGCATCCAACACTTGGTGCATGATAAGTGATTTGGTGTTGAAAATAATAGGATTTTCCTAGTCAGAACTCTTGATTTTCCCAAGAGTTTGTTTTTTTTTTTTTTTTTTGCAAGTGATGGAATTGCAACTCAAATTGCTCACACAAAACCAAGGCAGTGTGGCTGACGCAACTGGGAGGTACGAGGCACTGAACAGAAACAGAATCACACAGAGCAGTCTTTCCATCCGTCTCTCTGCTCTGCATTATGTGGGCTTTTCCCAGGTGGCACAGAAGTCCTTGCGCGCTCGGGTCTCATCTTACCAGCTGAACCACCTTGTGGCAGAAGACTTTACTTTCCCGACGGTTCCAGCACAAGTCCCAGATTTGCTCTGATTGGCCCAGCCCGTGCCACAAGTTATCCAGTCGCTGAAGCCAGGGGCATCTAGCACTGTCTTATACTTGGAGTGATAGCTGAGTGCACCCTGAGCTCAGGATGTAGGAGCTTTGTGAAGGTGGAGATGAGGAGAGGGGCTTTCCAGGCAATGCTTGAGGGCGGGTGGTGTCGGGTGGGGGAGGGGAAGGTTGGAGGAGAAAACTGAATTCCTTACACTGCCTCCTAAATGTTCTTCCACTCACTCCTTCATCTTCACTGTCAAGCGCTCTGGCTGAAACCCCCACCAGTGGCACAGTCTGTTGATGCAGGCCAGCTGTTTCTTTGAGAATAACTAGCATGTTCAAAGCCATCTTGCTGAAGAGCTGCTATGGCAATGAGGGGTTGAAGGCCTAGAATACAGGACCCCCAGAGAGGTGCACCTGCCATTTGGCACTGTGTCTCTCTCCAGGCACTTACTGGTCCTCAAAGGCTGGGAGGTTAAGAACACTAAGCTCTTAGCAGATTCTTGAGCCCAGGAAGATGAAATTTGGAATTCAGAGACTTCCAGGGAGAGGGGAGGTTGTAGTGGGTCGACAAGAAGAAGCTAGTCCACAAAAGAGGGTGTTGAGGGGGCAGAGGGTCCCAGAAGCAGGAGATGGCCATGAAGTGGTCCAGGAGGCAGCCGCTGGAGAGCAGATCGGAGGGAGGGTGGAGGCAGGAAGAGAGAGGGTCCCAGGCCTGATTCACCAAGCACTGTTGCAGCAGGAGACAGACTGGGTCTTGGGCCACACGGCTCTGCGTTATTAACCCCATTTTCCCATGACCTTTTTGATGCTCCACTACCTGTGAGCACAGGTCATTCGAACAGTTCGAGAAGGCCCAGGCTGCCATCCCTGGAGGCGCTGAGGGAGCCCAGGGGTGAGTTTCCTGGGAGGGTGGAGGCGGGCAGGTGGTGCTGGAACTCGGGCAGTGAGCCGGCTCTCACTTTTCGTCCTCAGAGAAGCCAGAGGCTGACAGAAGGTAAACGGCTGACCTGGGGCCACGCGGAGGCTGCACGGCAGAGCAGGGACTCAGCTCCAGGAAGGTTGGGTCTTGAAGTGCATGCTTGGTCCACTACTTCCTGGCTGAGGGAGAGGCGGGGGCTCTGGGGAGCTGGAGGGAGGGGACGGGGCTACTGCTCACCTGACTGCCTGCTTGGATGGCAGGTTTCCTTCCACCCCACTGCTGAGCAGCTCTCCCGGGAATGGCCCTGGAGAGAGCCCTCTGTGATGGGCACAGCAGTGCTTAGGCTACCTGAGGACGCCGCCTGCTGCTGGACCGGCGGCCCCAGGAGGAGGAGGGTTCCGTGTCCTCCGTGTGTCGCGCTCTTTCCAATACAGAACTGGACCTCCTGCATCGACGTCTCTGCAAGAACATCTGTCACTCAGCCGGCGCCACGCCTCAGGACACCGACGCCGACCCCGAGCCTGTGGCCAGGGTGGCAGAGCCAGGCACCTCTCCTCCTGGGGAACATCGCACGGTGGTTTCCGTAAGTTGGCGGCGATTGCATAACTCCTTCACCAACTGCCACGCCGGATATGTTTTGCAACCCAGCCCGCCATGCCACATGTGTCAGCTGGCATGGGCCAGGCCTCCCAGAGAGGCCGGAGCAAGACTGAGAGGGAAACTCGACTGATCGTGCCTCCCAGGAAGCCAGCAGCCTCAGGCCCCTGCTCCTCACTCTGCAGGCTGAGCCAGGGCCCCTGGCCAGGGAGAGCAGGAGGGTTCCAGGAACTGCCCCGCCCCCCGCCATCCTCCCATCAGAAAGACATGAGATCCACCCAGGAGGGTATGGTTTTCGAGAAGCCATCATTATATGCTAAGAGCTCCTCTTGGGGTTCCGGTGCCCTGAAGTCAGAGTGGAGAGAGATCCTCACCCATCAGTCCACGGTGGGATCCCACCCAGGGCATGAGCCTTGAGAGAGCTTGCAGTGCCCTGATTGGCCGTGCCTAAAACTCACCTGTAAATATTTGCTGAGTGCTAGGCCCGGCCACAGCTTCTTGGGTTACAGAGATATCGTGGTCATTCGTTTGCCCTCAAGAACTCGCTTTTTAGTAGGATAAACGGGCTTAAAACAAACTTTAAAAATAATCCACTATCCGATTTGATTCACACAAAGATCCTGCAAGAGAGACTGTTAGATACATTAGCTTATTCTGCAGATAAGGAGACAGGGGCTCAGAGAACTCCATGGTTCACATGCAGCTTAATGGACTGCTAGATGCCTGATAAATACCAGCCCTAAGAGCAATGCAGCCTTCCCAGCCCTCAGCATGCCTGGCCAGAGAGACAGAGAGAGAGAGAGAGAGAGAGAGAGAGAAAGAGAGAGAGACAAGGACTGGCGATGCCGGAAGAGCCTGGCCCCGTGCACCAAGGCAGGAAGAAGCCGAAAAGTGCTGACGCTTCCTGCAGCACAGAGCCCAGATGGTTTGGCTGGGGACCCCTGAGTGTCTGAGTGCGCTCCCAAAGCACAGTCCTGCGGCCAGAGCGATGCTGCCGTCCACCGTGGGCTGCACACACACAGCAGTCCTGTACGATTACCATGGAGCTGGAAAACCCCTGCCACCAAGTGACTCACAGCCACGGCGAGGCGTGGCACAAGGCATCGCTCACGGGTGTGGGGACGCCGCCGGTGTGAACACACCTGGTGATGCACGGCCACCCACATCAGCAGCGTTGCGGACACTTGCGGGCAGGCTTCGTGCTGCAGGAAGATGATGTGCCAGGAAGTCGCTGGCTTACGTATTCGCTGTGCTACACTTTCTGTCGTTATTTCCGAGTGGACGCCTTCTACTCTTTTTAAGGCAAGGACTGTGTTGCGCCGGCAGCAGCCTCCTTTCTCTCCCGCTTACCAGGTCTCTTCACTGCAGCACTGCCTCTTGGATTTGATTTTCATCTTTGTGTCATTTCGTTCACTGTGGTCCTAGGACCATAGGCTATGCTATCGCATATGTGTGAGGATATCTCAAAAATCCATGGCAGTGTGTAGTACGAACAATTAAGCATAGTTTTCAAAAGTATTTGCACCCGGCCGGCGCCATGGCTCACTAGGCTAATCCTCCGCCTTGCGGCGCCGGCACACCGGGTTCTAGTCCCGGTTGGGGCGCCGGATTCTGTCCCGGTTGCCCCTCTTCCAGGCCAGCTCTCTGCTGTGGCCCGGGAAGGCAGTGGAGGATGGCCCAAGTGCTTGGGCCCTGCACCCGCATGGGAAACCAGGAGAAGCACCTGGCTCCTGTCATCGGATCAGTGCGGAGCGCTGGCCACAGCGCGCCGGCCGCGGCGGCCATTAGAGAGTGAATCAACGGCAAAGGAAGACCTTTCTCTCTGTCTCTCTCTCTCACTGTTCACTCTGCCTGTCAAAAAAATAAATAAAATAAAAATTAAAAAAAGTATTTTCACCCAAGTCAATGTATCTTTTCAACATTTATTTATTTATTTGAGAGGCAGAAAGACACAGAGAGAGAGAGACAGAACACTCCTGTCTACTGGTCTGCTCCCCAGATGCCCAGAACAACACCAGGAGCTAGAAACTTTTTCTTTTCCTCCTTCCTTCCTTCCTCCCTCCCTCCCTCCCTCCCTCTCTTTTCTCTTCTCTTCTCTTCTCTTCTCTTCTCTTCTCTTCTCTTCTCTTCTCTTCTTCTCTTCTCTTTTTAGGATTTTTTATTTATTTATTTTAGAGGCAGAGTTACAGGGAGAGACAGAGAAAGGTCTTCCATCTGCTGGTTCACTTCCCCAAATGGCCTCAAAGGCTGGAGCTGAGCTGATCCAAAGCCAGGAGCAGACAAAGAGAAAGGTCTTCACTCTCCAAATAGCCACAATGGCCGGAGCTGTGTTGATCCAAAGCCAGGAGCCAGGAGCTTCTTCCAGGTCTCCCTTGTGGGTGCAAGGGCTCAAGCACTTGGGGCATCTTCCACTGCCTTCCCATAGCAGAAAACTGGATTGGAAGAGGAGCAACCAGAACACGAGTCGGCCCATACGAAATGCTGTTGCTACGGGCAGAGGCTTAGCTTACTATGCCACAGCACCAGCCTCAGGAGTTAGAAACTTAATTCAGGTTTATCACAACAGCATAAGGAATCCAATCACTTGAGCCATCCCTGCTGCCCTCCAGGGCCTGCCTTAGCAGGAAGCTGGAGTCAGGAACCAAAGCCAGGAATTGAACCCAGGTACTCCCACAGAGGACACAGACATCTTAATCGGTTGGCTGAACATCCACGCCAAACTTGTCTTCTAATTCCAGGCTCTGAATATTTTGCAGCTCCTCACAGACACCCCATAGCCTAGGTCTGTGGTAGGCTGTACTGTCTAGGCTGGGGGAAGGGCACTTTCTGATGTCTGCACAATAACCAAATCTAACGCTGCGCTTCTTGGAACCTAACTCCCTATTTTTTTTTTTTTTTTTTGACAGGCAGAGTGGACAGTGAGAGAGAGAGACAGAGAGAGAAAGGTCTTCCTTTTGCCGTTGGTTCACTCTCCAATGGCCGCCGCTGCAGCCGGCGCACCGCGCTGATCCTGGCAGGAGCCAGGAGCCAGGTGCTTTTCCTGGTCTCCCATGGGGTGCAGGACCCAAGCACCTGGGTCATCCTCCACTGCACTCCCTGGCCATAGCAGAGAGCTGGCCTGGAAGAGGGGCAACCGGGACAGAATCCGGCGCCCCAACCGGGACTAGAACCCGGTGTGCCGGCGCCGCAAGGTGGAGGATTAGCCTATTGAGCCACGGCGCCGGCTTCCTAACTCCCTATTCAATGATGCACAACTGTGATTAGAACCTCTCTGTTAGAGAATTTCTTTGGCTACAGCTGCTTCTGTCCGACAGTTACTATCTCCTGTCACAGGGAGTCTGGTGGTAGGCGTTCTTGGTCTGGCTTACAGAGTGGCTCAGGGGCATCACCCAGGCCACCTTGGCTGTATGTCTGTCCCCTCTGCCAGCCGTGACAAATTTGCTTTCATCCCCAGGATTGGCTCTTCAAGGTCGGAAAATGGCTGCGTCGACTCCAGGGATCATATCACAGCAACGTCCACGGAACAGATGTCCCCAAGGCCCCACCTGTGACAGATATGCATGCCTCATCTATGCCGGGCTCAGGTTCCGTGGCCGTCACAAGCATCCCGAAGTGACAGCGGCTTTAACAGAGGCACTGTTTAGCTCTCAAGGGGCAGTCCAAGTCGGGGCTTATTTGTGGTCCACAATGAAGAGGACCCTGGTGTCTCTGCCTGTCCCATGAGCCCTTCCTTTGTGAGCCAAGATGGCTGTGCCAGCTCCTGCCATCATGGCTTTCGTTCGTTCTAGCCGGCTGGAAAGGGGGCAGGTGCTGGACACCCCACTTCCTCTAAAGGCATGACCTGGAGGTTCAGAGATAACTTTCGCTCATCTCCTTCTGGTTCAACTAAATCAGCATCCATTCTGAAGCACAAAGAGGCTGGCACTTCAAGGCTTCGTTCTGGACAGTTCTGTGACAAAGGGGAGAAGTGGCTGTTGAGGATCCGAGAACATTCTGGCCCAGAGCGGAGTTCTGATGAGGAGCAGACTGAGCAGGGCCCACTCCGTGGGGCTGGGAGACGGGAAGCAGCCCTGGGCATCGTCCCGCCCCTCCCCCCCCTTACTGAGGGTCTGCAGGGGCCCACGCACTTTGGAAGGCACGGGTGTCCAGGGGGCAGACGCCACTTCAGTGACCCCCCAGAAACCACACGATGAAGAAGCAGGAGTGTTAGAATCTGAACCCAGAAAGGCGTCCAGCTGGGCCTCGCAGGGTGGGGCCTTGAGCGTGGGCTTTTCCCTCTGGCCCGAGATTCGGCCGCGTCCTGGTGTAGTGTCTTCCAATGATCGCTGTTGCTGCCGGAACTCGTTCCCGCAGTGGCTTCAGACAGCACCAGCCACCTCTGACTTCTGGGCCCTCTCAGAGGCGTCTCTGCCATCTCAAACTCGTCAGCTCCCAGCGGCCACCTGCTCACGACCCCTCCCTCCCTCATCCTGCTTCCGGCATTGTGGGGGCTTCTCCCCGGATTCCCCCTCTTCCCACCGCCCTCTCACAAGGGCCATGGTGAGCCCATGGGGGATAATCCAGGATAATCTCCCATCTTAAGATCCTTAACTTGATCCCATTTGTGAAGCCCCTTGGCCTTGGAAGGTGACATATTCCTGGCTTTGGGTGGTAGGACGTGGCCTCCAGGGAGGTGGCCGTTACTCTGCCTACTGATGGCTGAGTCAGGCTGTGTGCTTGCCCAGTGTGTCGATCCATTCACAATGACACGTGTTGACATTCCTTTTCTCCGAGAAAGCAGACTGTACTTTAAGGTAAACAAAGAGATTTTTAAAAATTAAAATATTTTAAAAGGATCTCTTAATTAGCTTTTTTATAAAAAGTTTTATTGATTTATTTAAGAGGCAGAATTACAGAAAGAGAAGGAGAGACAAGAAAGAAGTCTTCCATCAGCTGGTTCAGTCCCCAAGCGGCCACAACGGCTGGGGCTGGGCCAGTCCAAAGCCAGGAGCTTCTTCCAGGTCCCCCATGTGGGTGCGGGGGCCCAGGGACTTGGAACATCTACTGCTGCTTTCCTAGGTGCATTAGCAGGGAGCTGGATTGGAAGTGGAGCAGCTGGGACTTGAACTGGTGCCCATATGGGATGTCAGCACTGCAGGCCATGGCTTAACCAGCTGCACCACAGCACAAGCCCCTAAAGTAGGTTTTAAAATAATTTATTTTTAAAAATAAATGTATTGGCCGGCGCCGCAGCTCACTAGGCTAATCCTCCGCCTGTGGCGCCGGCACACCGGGTTCTAGTCCTGGTCGGGGCGCCGGATTCTGTCCCGGTTGCCCCTCTTCCAGGCCAGCTCTCTGCTGTGGCCAGGGAGTGCAGTGGAGGATGGCCCAAGTGCTTGGGCCCTGCACCCCATGGGAGACCAGGATAAGTACCTGGCTCCTGGCTTCAGATCAGCGCAATGTGCCGGCCGCAGTGCGCCAGCAGCAGCGGCCATTGGAGGGTGAACCAACGGCAAAGGAAGACCTTTCTCTCTGTCTCTCTCTCTCACTGTCCACTCTGCCTGTCAAATAAATAAATAAATAAATGTATTGAAGTGTAACTGACATAAGAAAAAATTCTTTCATTTTAGACACAGAGTTGGATGAGTTCTTGTAGTGGTACTGGCCATGCAGCTTCTACCACAATCAGCCTGGCCAGTCCCATCAGCCTGGACTTCATCCTTGGTCTCTTTGCAGTTGATCCCTTCCCCAGCCCAAGCAACCCCTGATCTTTCTGTTACTGTATCTGTACATTTTCTAGAATTTCATCAAACTGAATCATACAGCATCTGATCTTTTAAGACTTATTTGCTTATTTATTTGACACACAAAGAGACAGAGGCGTATCTTTCTTCTTCTTCTTCTTCTTCTTCTTCTTCTTCTTCTTCTTCTTCTTTTTTTTTTGGATAGGCAGAGTGGACAGTGAGAGAGAGAGACAGAGAGAAAGGTCTTCCTTTTTGCCGTTGGTTCAACCTCCAATGGTCGCCTGCGTCCAGCGCGCTGCAGCCGGCACACCACGCTGATCCGATGGCAGGAGCCAGGTACTTATCCTGGTCTCCCATGTGGGTGCAGGGCCCAAGTACTCGGGCCATCCTCCACTGCACTCCCTGGCCACAACAGAGAGCTGGCCTGGAAGAGGGGCAACCGGGACAGAATCCGGCGCCCCGACCGGGACTAGAACCCGGTGTGCCGGTGCCGCAAGGTGGAGGATTAGCCTAGTGAGCCGCGGCGCCAGCCAGAGGCGTATCTTTCATGTGCTGGTTCACTCCACAAATGCCTGTGACAGGCAGGGCTGCACCAGGCCAAATCCAGGAGCCAGGAGCTCTCCCACATGAGCTGTCACTGCTGCCTCCCAGGGCGTGCATGAGCAGGAAGCTGGGTCGGAAGTGGAGCCGGGACTCCTATGTCTAATGCAGGTGTCCCAGGCACCCAGGGCCCACCCCCAGCTGATGGTCTTTCGTGTTTGACTTCTTTTCCTTAGCTTGATGTGTCTGAAATGCATCCACGCCATTGTGTAAATGGATATTTCATTCATTTGGTTTGTTGAATACTATTCCATAACACGGATGCGACAGAACTTGTTCATCCATTTCCCCAGCTGATGAAACCCGGGTCATCATGTCCTGTTTGGGGATATTGTGAGTGAAGCTGTTTGAACACCATTACACACAGGTCTTGTTTTCATTTTGTCTGTCTATCTATCTATCTATCTATCTATCTATCTATCTATCTATCTAAACCTGGGAAGGAATGGCTGGATAGCATGGTAAATAATGGCTAACTGTAAAACACTGCCATCCTGGTTTCCAAAGTGGCTGTCCCATGTTGCATCTCCACTAAGTATGAAAACAGCAGGTGCCACCCCCCACCCTCAGCACTTGCTGTGGTCGGTCTTCTACACTTCGGCCTCAATGCATTTCCCTGATGGCACCGAGCATCTTCCTGGGCTCCTACTGGTCTTTCACAGATCTTCCTTTACGAAGTGACTGTTCACATAGTTTGTCCATTTAAAGTAATCAAGTAGGTTGTCTTATGGTTGAGTTGTAGTGCCCCCCCCCTTTAAAAATTCTGGATATAAGCCTTTACCAGATATACTTTTGAGTATTTTTTCAGATTACGGGGTTATCCAAGCTCCAATCTTAAGACAGTTAGAAGGGCCGGTGCCGCGGCTCACTAGGCTAATCCTCGGCCTGCAGTGCCGGTACCCATGGTTCTAGTCCCGGTCGGGGTGCCGGATTCTGTCCCGGTTGCCCCTCTTCCAGGCCAGCTCTCTGCTGTGGCCCGGGAGGGCAGTGGAGGATGGCCCAGGTCCTTGGGCCCTGCACCCGCATGGGAGACCAGGATAAGTACCTGGCTTCGGATTGGCGCAGTGTGCCGGCCGCAATGCAATGGCCGTAGTGGCCACTTGGGGGGTGAACCAACGGAAAAAGGAAGACTTTTCTCTCTGTTTCTCTCTCTCACTGTCTAACTGCCTGTCAAAAAAAAAAAAAAAAAGAAAGAAAGAAAGAAAGAAAGTAGAAGAATAACAAACTAAGCAAAAAGTAAGCTGAAGAAAAGGAAATTAAAAAGCAGAAATCAAAGGGAAAATAGAAATAATAAAACATAAATAGAAGAAATGTTTTTTAATGGCAAATAAATTGATAAGCCTATCTCTTAGACTAAATGGACCAAGAAAAAAAGTCACAAATTACAACTCATCAAAATCAGAAAACAAAAGAGGGAACAACACCACAGATTCTTCAGACACTTAAAAGATGATAAAGAAACAATATGAACAACTTTGTACCAGTAAATTTGCAAATTCAGATGAAATAGACAGTTTCCTTGAAAGACATGAATTACCAAAACTGATCCAAGAAGAACCAGAAATTCTGAATAACCCTAAACCAACTAAAGAAGCCAAATTTGCCACTAAAAACCCTTCCACAAAGAAATCATTTAAGGAAAACTATTTCATAATTTAGAAAAAGGGGGGCCGGGGCTGTGGTGTAGCGAGTAAAGCCGCTGTCTACAGTGCTGGCACCCCATATGGGCGCTGGTTCGAGTCCCGACTGCTCCTGTTCTGATCCAGCTCTCTGCTATGGCCTGGGAAAGCAGTGGAAGATGGCCCAAGTCCCTGGGCCCCTGCACCTGCATGGGAGACCCAGAAGAAGCTCCTGGCTCCTGGCTTCAGATCAGCATAGCTTTGGCCGTTGTGGCCAATTAGGGAATGAACCAGCAGATGGAAGACCTCTCTCTCTTTCTCTCTCTCTCTCTCTCTCTCTGCCTCTCCTCTCTCTGTGTAACTCTAACTTTCAAATAAATAAATAAATCTTTAAAAAAAAGAAGGAACACTTTTAAACTAATTTTATGAGACAAGTATTATCCTGATACCAAAACAGACAAAAGCATAACAAGAAAAGATAACTATGGACCCAAATCCCTTATGAAAAAGTCTTTAACAAAATTCTAGCAAATTAAATACAGAAATATCAGAAAAAATAAAATGCATAATTTCTAGGTAGGGCTTAACCCAGGAATACAAAGTTCATATAATATCCAAAAGTCAACCGATATAATTCACTGTATTAATACAACAAGAGGAGAAAGCTGTATTATAACTATTGAAAGATGCAGAAAAAGCACTTGAAAACCTTCAACACAGTTTCGCAATAAAAATTCTCAGCAAACTTGGAATAGAAGGAAATGTACTCGGTCTGATGATAAACCTATTTGTAGGGTTTTGAAAGTTTATTTTTTTAGATTACAAGAATCCTATGCTTTTTGTAATGCCATTACAATTCAAACAGTGCCACTCAGAGACACCCAACATAATGTACTTTTATACAGCATCATATTCTGTGTGTGTGTGTTTTAATACAAATGGAACCACAATACATCCTTTATTCTATAACAGGGATGGGGAATATATTTTCTCTGAAAGGCCATTTGGATATTATAACAGCAGTCACAGGCCATACAAAATGATCAATGTAAAAATAACCTGCTACAGATTGACTGAATTTCGAGTCCCTCCTGCGGTCGCCGTGGCAGGGCCAGAACGAATGATTTTGCAGCTCTCAGGGGGCCTGTGGGCTGGATGTTCCCCACCCCTGTTCTGTAACTTGGTTTTTTGGACTTAAAAAGGGCAGTTTCAGGATCTCTGCAAAATTGGAAGGGAAGTACAGAGATTTCCCGGGACCGGCTGCCCCGCGGGCATAACCGCCCTCACTCCTGCCCCCTACCTGCATCTGCATACTAGAGGCGTCTGTTCCAAAGGCTGTGGGTGATTGTAGAGGCTTGTTAACTGACATGGATGCCGCTTTGGTTACTGTTGCCACTTTAAGTGATGGCCGGGCACTAATTCTCCCACGTGCTTGCACCTCTGCGTGCTGTATCACTGAGCGCGTGTTTGTGATGTGAGCAGTTTAAATTTAGATCCTGCTGCCCTTCCTAAGGAGCTGCGTCAACTTTCACTCGCACCAGCCGTGTCCAAGAGAACCTGCTTGCTGTCGCCGTGGGATGGATGACGTGGTTCTTGTTATTTATGCAAATGGCTTTTGCCAATCTGCCCGATGAAAAGTGGTGTCTCCTTAAGTTTCCACTTATTAGATCAGAAATGAGGGCATGCTTCCTTTTCAAATCTTTATTGACCATTCTTTCTCTTCTCGTGTGAATTGCCTGTTTTTCCATTGGGTTATTTGGCTTTTTCTAATTGATTTTTAGGAATGCTTTGCATTTATAGATACGGCTGTTACTTCATTATAGACATGGCAAATACTGTGTCGATCTATTGTTTGTCTTTTAAATTTGTTTGTAGTATGTTTTATGAGGCAGAAGTTGGAATTTCTGAATAGTTCAATAAATCAATCTTTTTTCTTTATAGCTTCTGCTTTCCTTGCAACACTTATAAAATTCCTTCCCACTCCAAGGTCACATATTTTATCTTGGTATGTAGTAAATTCCTATGCTTCAACTGTATTGGTGAGACTTGAATACTGAAGTTAGCTGTTGGGTACAGAAATTTTTAAATATTATTTTATTTCACCTTTTGTGTACCTCAAATATTTTGCAATTCTTCAAAGATTTAGTTATTTATTTGAAAGTCCGAGTTAACAGAGAGGCAGGAGAGACAAAGAAAGAGAGAGATCTTCCATTCACTTGTTCACTCCCCAAATGGCTGCAAATGGCTAAGGTTGGGCCAGAACAAACCCAGGAGCTAGGAGCTTCTTCTGGGTCTCCCACATGGGTGCAGGGCCCACACAGGACACTGGCACAGCAGACCGCAGCTTAACCTGCTGCACCATTGTGCCGGCCCCTGCAATTTATTTTTTAGAAGTAATAAAGAGGGGGATGGTGCTGTGGTGTAGCAGGTAAAGCCTCTGCCTGCAGCGCCAGCATCCCATATGGGCGCTGGTTCAAGTCCCGGATGCTCCACTTCTGATCCAGCTCTCTGCTATGGCCTGGGAAAGCAGTAGAAGATGGCCCAAGTCCTTGGGCCCCTGCACCCGAGTGGGAGACTCGAAAGAAGCTCCTGGCTCCTGGATTCAGATCAGTGCAGCTCCAGCCGTTGTGGCCATCTAGGGAGTGGGCCAGCGACTGGAAGACCTCTCTCAGTGAGAGAGAGAGACAGACAGAAACGTCTTCCTTTTCTGTTGGTTCACTCCCCCAAATGGCTACTATGGCCGGCACGCTGAGCCGATCCGAAGCCAGGAGTCAGGTGCTTCCTCCTGGTCTCCCATGTGCAGTGCCCAAGGACTTGGGCCATCCTCCACTGCCTTCCTGGGCCACAGCAGAGAGCTGAATTGGAAGAGGAGCAACCAGGACAGAATCTGGCACCCTGACCGGGACTAGAACCCGGTGTGCCAGCGCCGCAAGGTGGAGGATTAGCCTATTGAGCCGCAGCGCCAGCCTGTAACTCTGACTTTCAAATAAATAAATAAATCTTTAAAAAAATAATAAAGAGGGGAATATTTAAATTTTTGATTATGTTACGCTATCAGAAAAACTCCAAATCTGGCTGAAAAAAAAAATCCCCTCTCCAATTTTTTAAAAATTAAAACATTGTTTAAAAATATTTTTTAATTGGAAAGTCAGTGAAATAGAGAAAGGGATAGACAGAGAGAGGGATCTTCCATCTGCTGGTTCACTCCCCTAATGGTCACAATGGTCAGCGCTAGACCAGGCCAAAGCTGGAAGCCAGGAGCTTCCTTTGGTTTCCCACAAAGGCAGCAGGGGCCCAAGCCCTTGAGCCGTCCTCCACTGCCTTCTCAAGCCATTAGCAGGGAGCTGGATTGGAAGTGGAGCAGCCAGAACATGAAGCAGCGCCCACAAGGGATGCTGGCATCACAGGCAGCTTTACCTGCCACAACAAAATGCCGGAACCCCAAAATGAAAACATTTAAAAAATTTTCTTTGAAAGGTAGAAAAACATAAACAGACAGAAACAGAATCTTCCGTCCACTGGTTCACTCTCCATGTGCCTGCTACAGACAGGAGCCCAGAACTAAGTCTGGATCTCCTAGGTGGGTGGCAGGAACCCAGCTACTTGAACCACCATCTGCCGCCTCCCAGGGTGTACACCACTAGCAGGAGCGAGAACAGGAAGCAGAGCCAAGACTCGAACCCGAGCACTCCAGCATCCCAGGCAGCGTCTTCGCTTTCCGCCTTGGTTAGGAGCACTGCACACACGTGGATCACACACGGCCTTTTGTGCCCGGCTCCAATCACGTAGCATCTCCAAGCGGTCCTGAGTGTCAGGTCACTTTCGCAGCTGGATTGCGTGGACAGCCCATCGTATGGACAGGCCACGCTTCGTTAACCCATTCAGCAGCTGATGGGCACTTGGGTTATTTCCACTTCTTAGCCGTTATGACGAGCCCTGGGCACACACATTTTCCCGGGGCTGTGTTTTCATTTCTCTGGGTGGATACCTAGGACTGCACTGCCGGGCCCCGTGAGCGTTCAATGTCTTGCATTCCCTGGGATTCTCCCAGCAGCCTCTGGATGTGCGCCCAACCGGAGCCCACATTCCTGGTCCCCAAATGCGGTCCCATTCTCAGTGGCTGGGGTGGGGTCTAGGTTGTGGGCAGGTCAGCTTGGGGTGAGGGAGGACACAATTTGCCCAGTGACGTGGGGAAAAAGGACAACAGGCCTCCAATTGCTCTCTCGTCCAAGAGGAGGCTCATCTGTAGGTGCCACCGGGCAGCTGTGACAATCCCTGATTAAGTCGCCAGTGTGGTAGCCAAAAGCTACACTCCCCTGTGCAACGCCCCCTCCCTGCCTGGTCTCTATCCACTCCTAAGATAAGGGCCATCCGCCAAGGATCCTGCTGAACACCTGCCACTTACTGTACATGAGCCCGGAGTCAGGCCACGTCCTGGGATCCCTCCCGGCCTCACAGCAGCCCGCGAGGGGTCATCTGGGCCAGGTGAGGAACTGCACATGTCCCGACACTCCCCAGGAGGCCAAGGCCAGCATTGCTCTTGAAGACCCCCAGGGGTCACCCCCTCAGTGTCTGTGCCCAAGTTTTGCATTTGCAATGCTCTGTACAAACGTTGAGTGTGAAAATACAGAACGCAGAAATGTCATACTGACTTGTAAACACGATTAAAGTGAAATCATGGGGGCCAGTGTTGAGGCACAGCAGTTAAAGCTGCTGCTGCACTTCCAATCCAGCTGCTAATGGCCCAAACACCCCTGCTGGCGAGGTGGGAGACCAGGGTCACACTCCTGGCTTCTGCCTGGCCCAGCCCATCTGGGCCATCTGGGTCTCCCACAGAGGACGCAAGCACGCGAGCCCTCGCCTGCCGCCTCCCGGGTTGCCCACTCACAGGAAGCTGGCTCGGAAGCAGCGGAGCTGGGGACTGAGCCAGGCACTCCAACGTGGCACGTGAGTGTCCTGGGCGACGGCTGAGCCGCTGCACCAAACGCCCAGCCCATGGCTTGCTTTCCTTTCTCTCGGCACCACTGGGGAGTTGGCATTGATTGCTGTGTGGTGCTCTCCTGCATGGCTACAGTGATTCCTTTCTCCACACGGCTGTGCCACACCTGTGGGCCGTGTGTGGGCGTGTTATCCGTGGGCCAGGTCATTTCTGTGGCTGTTGTGAGTCCTGTGGAACTGCCGAGCTGGTGCGCACACGTCTCTTTGCTAGGGCGGCCACACCCCTGCCAAAGTGTGGTCCCCAGCACACACGCCCACCAGCCATGTGCATGCCTTCTGCTCTGGTGCCAGGCCTCCCTGCCGGCTTCAGGGCCTGTCCGCCCATCCTTGGGCTTCCTCCTGCGGCACGTGCATCTGGACGAAGGCTTCCCCACTTTGCCAAGGGTGGGAGTCCCCTTAGGCACACCTAGAGCTTTTCACAGCCTTCGCAGGCGGGCTGCACCCTGCGCAGTTTCGAAGGCAAAGCACACAGAGCCCCAGGTCCCCGGGGAAGGGGCTGAAGCAAGAGGAGCTGACGCTTGGATCCCGGGCAAGCAGGACCCTTGGTGTCGTCATGGTCCCCTGAGAGCCCCAGCCCCAGCCTGCGTCACGCTGGGCCAGGTCTGCAAAGCTCCGGAGTTGGGGGTGGAGGAGACATCCGAGGTCCCAGTGCCACCTCCTGGGTCTGGTTAGGGTTAGTCCTCAGTCCCGCTCGCCCCCACCTCCGCTCTGCATCACGGGGACCTACCTGACAGGTGGATTCAGCCAATGGGAGCCGGTGCAGGAGACCAGGCGGGTGGGAGGAAGGGGGCAGCCAGGGAGTTTCCGCTCAGCTCCGTCTCGGGTGGCTCCGCCGGCTGGCTCTCTCTGCTCTGTGGCTCCAGCTGCCACTGGAGTGGATGCTGCGCTTCTCTCTTTCTAGCCCTGGGGGAGGGAACAGCTTCCTTTACTCAGTTCTGTGCTGCCCCTGCCCGCCTGTTCTCAGCAGCTCTACCTCCTGCACAACCCTGTCCCCGAATGGAAGCATTTCAATTACATTTCCGACTTTCCAGTGGTTTCTGCTTTCCCGGCTGGGCCCTGGGGATCCGGCCTCTTCTTCACACTGTGTTAGACGGAGGTGGATGGATGGTGGACAAATATGGAAACTCAGTTGCGACAGGTGCCCTGCAGAGGACAGAACAGGGCTTCTTCCTAGAGGTGAGACCCATCCTTGCAGGGTGGGGGCAGAGAAGGGCCACTGGAGAGAGAGGCAGGACAGGCAGCCAGAGAGCAAAGGAAGCCAGCATGGACTGCGGGTCTGCTACTTTTATGCATGCGCCAGCCACCTCAGCCACGTCCTGTGCGGCTCAATCTGGTGATCAGCTTCGTGGGAGCTGGCACATGGCGGGTGTTCAGAGCCAAAGGCTTTCAAATTAATACTAGTCGTCACAAGGATGGAGGGATTTGTGGTAGTTTCCAAATCCATTCTTCCCCCTCTCCCTAGGATTTTAGCTGAATGCGCGGCCTTGGCCCTGGACCACGACATGTTCTGGATCTTAACATTCACTCCTGGAAGGGCAAGGGTGCTGCCTCCATCTTGTTAGGGAGCTGCAGGAACCTGGAGATCAGCCCCACACCTGACGGCTGGCTCCAAGGCTGCTGGTTCTTTTCAGCCGCTGCCTGGAGACAGCAGGGTCTCTAGGAACCATCTGCAGCCTGCAGTCACCCACAGCTGACGGGGAGAGGCTCTGGGAAGGCAACACATCGGAGGGGACCTGAGGTCTATCCATCCAGGAGCCATGTGCCTTCAGGGGTAAGAGGAACAAGTGCAAACGTCCTGGGGTGGCCATGTGCCAGCTCTGTCCGAGAAACAGGAAGGAAGCCAACTGGGCTGGAGTGGAGCAAAGTGAATGGAGTGAGATCAAAGAGGCAGTGAGTGATCAGCTCATGTGGGTTCCTGAGTGAGCCCGGCACTCACGTCTGCACAGGAGCCCTCTGGCTGCTGGGTTTGGGGATGCCGGGAGACTCCTAGTGGGGAGGCTGTGGCGGGAACCCCGGGGAGAGATGATGGCAGTGTGGGCCGGGGTGGCCCCAGTGTTGGTGGGAAGTGGTGAGACGCAGGAATGGCAGATGTCTGGGGGGTGCAAGAAGGGCAGGGGGAGGGCCCACATGCCAACATAAGTGATTCCAGGGCCGGCGCCGTGGCTCAATAGGCTAATCCTCCGCCTTGTGGCTCCGGCACACCGGGTTCTAGTCCCGGTCGGGGTGCCGGATTCTTTCCCGGTTGCACCTCTTCCAGGCCAGCTCTCTGCTGTGGCCAGGGAGTGCAGTGGAGGATGGCCCAAGTGCTTGGGCCCTGCACCCGCATTGGAGACCAGGAGAAGCACCTGGCTCCTGGCTTCAGATCAGCGCGATGTGCCAGCCGCAGCGCGCCGGCAGCAGCGGCCATTGGAGGGTGAACCAACAGCAAAAGGAAGACCTTTCTCTCTGTCTCTCTCTCTCACTGTCCACTCTGCCTGTCAAATAAAAAAAAAATGTTAAAAAAAAAAATAAGTGATTCCAGAACACTTTTTTCTCCTTCTTAACAGTCGCCACATTATTTCCATGGGACTCAGAACACACATAACCAGCCCTTGGTACGCGTCATCTGGGGAGTAATACAAAGTTTGCCTCTTGGAAATAATTTGTAGCATAAAGACATGCACTGAGAGAAAGAAAAAGAACCAGGGAGCCGCTCAGGGGATCCAGAGACACGACGAGAACCTCTATAGATACTGATGCGCCCCGACCCCTGCGCTCCCCACTCGCCCTGCAGCTGCGCCCTCCTCCCAGCCGTGGGGGGGGGGGCCTCCTGTCGACCCTCTGGCCTTGGCACGTGCTCTTCCTTCTCTCGGAATCTTGTTTTGCAAGATTGTCGTCAGTCATTTTAGTTTTCACATGGAAATTTGTAACCCATCTGGAATGTGTTTGAATGCCTACGAGATGTCCAGCTTTATTTCCCTGCACATGGCCTTCCTGGTGCCAGCAGGGACCTGCCCGTCCGCCTCCTCCCTCCGAGTGAAGCAGCACCTTTGTCATACAGCACACGCTCACAGATACCCACCCGCATCTACCACCTGCTCACAGGCACTGGGGCCTATTTTCACATTCTCCATCCTTTCCATTGTCTATGTCTCTGCCAGTGCCATATTGATTTGATTAGAGTGGCTTTAGAGTGCCTTCTTATTTCCGGTAAGGCAAAACCCCCACGCTATTCTTTTTCCAATTTTCCTTGGTTATTCTTGGGCATTTATTCTGCCACATAATCTTTGAGGTCATTTTATCCAGTTTTTTTTAATTGTCCTCTTGGTATTCAATTTGAATTACATTACATTTAAATGGAAAATATGGGAGAACTGACATTTCCTAAGTTTCCCAATCCAAGATCTTGTCCTGATCTTGTTTTAAAATCTTCTAGAAGGTTTAATCCCATTTGTGTTTCCATGCTTTTACTTCGTTTCCATAAACAATATATTCGTGGTTAAAATTCTGCCAGTCCTCTCTCCGACGGTGACATCATATCCCTTGCACCTCTCCACACAGACACACACAATGTCACTGCCACACGATTTCTCTTTTGAAGAATGTGCCACCATCATCTGTGTCTCCAGCACCCAGAGATGGGTCAGCAGCCTGGGTCCAAAGTTCCTTTCTTTGTTTGTTTGAAAGTTTATTTCTTTTCATCTACTTGAAAGGCAGAGAAACATAGACAGTGAGAAAGAAAGAGAGAGAGAGAGAGAGCACTCTTCCACCTGCTGGTTCACTCCCCAGCTGGCCACAATAGCCGGGGCTGCAGCAGGCAGGAGCCAGGAACCAGAAATTCTCTCTGGGTCTCCCATAGGGGTGGCCAGGAGCCCAGGTACTTGAGCCATCCTGTGTACCTCCTAGGCATACTAGCAGGAAGCTGGATGGGACACCCAGCAGCCGGAACTGGAGCCAGGCACTTCCATACGGGACACAGGTGTTCTGAGTGGGAGCTTAACCCGCCGCACCAAATGCCTGCCCCACATTTATTCATTGCAAAGTTTTTGCTTTGGATTTTAACCTTTGAACATAGAGGCTATACATGTAACATGTATGTGTGTGTGTGTGTGTATCTACCTACCGACCTCTATCTATATAATTTCAACACTCATCAAAGGGGACACAGGCGAATCTTCCTCCCACCTAGGCCCAGGGCCTTTTGTAGATTTCAACCACTGTCACCAGCGCCTCTGCTTTTCTATCAAGAGAGTTCGTGCAAATACGTCAGCAACCATTTGTGCATCACTCCTTCGGCCGCTCGTCAGGACGGCACCCCTCACACCTGTGCTTTCGCGCCAGTCCTGTCTTCCCAACACCCCGCGGCAGCACACAGGGCACCCGCCCTCCTGCTCCACACTAGCGTCCCCTGCCCCTCCACACTAACGGCTCCTGTCCCATCTTTGGTCACAGCCTCGGAGCTCCTGCTGCATTTCGCAGATGTAACAGCGCATCCAACCAAGTTCCATGATTGAATTCCTTTCTCAAAGGGACAACAGGGGCTGGTGCTGTGGCATAGCGGGTAAAGCCGCCGCTTGCAGTGCCAGCGTCCCATATGGGCGCCGGTTTGAGTGCTCGCTGCTCCTCTTCTGATCCAGCTCTCTGCTATGGGCTGGGAAAGCAATAGAAGATGGCCCAGGCGCTTGGGCCCCTGTATCCGCGTGGGAGACCCAGAGGAGGCTCCTGGCTCCTGCCTTCGAATTGGTGCAGCTCCAGACATTTGATGGAAGACCTCTCTCTGTCTCTGCCTCTCTGTAACTCTGCCTTTCAAATAAATAAATAAACCTTAAAAAAAAAAAAAAAAAAAGGACAACAGATCTGAAAGTTTGACAGCGTCTCATTGCCCACCCACTGGGAGTGTGCCAGTGGACGCCCCCACCAGCCTGCCCCTCCCTCAGCCCCTTTGGCACGCAATACATCATCGAATGTTTTGACATCTGTTAATACTGACAGGTATAAAGTGATATCTCAGTGGACTTCATTTTTTAGAACAGTCATACTGTGGTGTAGTCATCACAATGTAAAAGTTCACTTGTGTTGTGTGTACACCAGTGAGCTGGAGTAAACTCATAGAGTTACAGCCACCACCACAGTCTCCCTTCACCTCAGCTATCTCACGGTATTTTAAAGTTTCACATCTCTGGGTAACATCAAATACATTTTCATTCGAGAGCCATTTCTATTTTCTTTTTAATGAGTTTTCTGCTTGTGCCCTTGGCCCATTTTGTATGTATATTTTCTTAGTGATTTGTGGGTACTCTTTGCATATGATGGCCTCAGTTTGGTGTCACAAGCACCCTGCAGTCCCGGTTCTCAACGGCTGGTATTCACAGACTCTACTGAAGTGTCTGCCTCTGTACTGCTCTGAGCTGTCGACACATGGTGACTGCACCCAACTTTATTCCACACCACACTGCCCGGCCTGGGGCCTGTCCCATGCCTCTGCAGATAAGCTTGCATTCAGGCGCTGGTGCTGTGGCATGATAGGCTAAGCCTCTGCCTGTGGCACAGGCATCCCATATGGGCACCATTCAAGTCCCAGCTGCTTCTCTTCCAATCCAGCTCTCTGCTGTGGCCTGGGAAAGCAGTAGAGGACAGCCCGAGCCCTTGGGCCCTGCACCCACGTGGGAAACTCAGAGGAAGCTGCTGGCTCCTGGCTTCGGATCGGTGCAGCTCTGGCCATTGCGGCCATCTGGGGAGTGAACCAGTGGATGGAAGACCTCTCTCTCTCTGTCTCTCCCTCTGTTGGTCTGTAACTCTGCCTCTCAAATGAATTTAAAAAAAAAAAAAAAAAGCTTGCATTCAACACCAGTAAGTACAGGTTCTTTGCCCTTGGAATTCTTATCATTTGTGATCAGTCATTGATCTGGGTCGTGAGTCAGGTC